GCGCAGCCCGCCGCGCCCCGCGCCCGCGCCGCCACAGCCCGCCCCCGCCCAGCCCGCTCCCGACAACAACAACGCCGAGAGCCCGCACTGGCAGGCCTTCCACCCCACGCTGCGCGAGCGGAACGCACTCATGTTCAACAACGAGCTCATGGCCGACGTCCACTTCGTCGTGGGGCCCCCCGGGGCGGCCCGGCGGGTGCCAGCCCACAAGGTGAGTAGTGACGCAGTTCCCGGGAGCCTGCAGGCACGCGCCACTACTCACAAGCTCTCTCTCGCCCACAGTACGTGCTAGCCGTCGGCAGCTCGGTCTTCTACGCTATGTTCTATGGGGACCTTGCGGAAGTCAAGTCCGAAATCCACATTCCGGACGTGGAGCCGGCCGCATTCCTGGTCCTGCTAAAGTGAGTGTTGCGCTGTAGCTGGGTGGGGGAGCATTCCTTCCTGCGGGCCCCTGCATCCCCCTGCAACCTGGGAGGGGCCACCCAGCAGTCCCCGATGGAGCCTTTGCCTTCCAGGTACATGTATAGTGACGAGATCGATCTAGAAGCCGACACGGTGCTGGCCACTCTGTATGCTGCCAAGAAATACATTGTACCAGCCCTGGCAAAAGCCTGCGTCAACTTTCTGGAGACAAGTCTAGAAGCCAAAAACGCCTGTGTGCTGTTGTCCCAGAGCCGGCTGTTTGAGGAGCCTGAGCTGACGCAGCGCTGCTGGGAGGTCATTGATGCACAGGCAGAGATGGCTCTGCGATCTGAAGGCTTCTGTGAGATTGACCGGCAGACACTGGAGATCATCGTGACCCGGGAGGCCCTCAACACCAAGGAGGCGGTGGTCTTCGAGGCTGTCCTGAACTGGGCTGAGGCCGAGTGCAAAAGGCAGGGCCTGCCGATCACTCCGCACAACAAGAGACACGTTTTAGGGCGAGCCCTCTATCTAGTCCGAATTCCAACCATGACTCTGGAAGAATTTGCCAACGGTGCTGCCCAATCGGACATCCTAACACTAGAGGAGACCCACAACATTTTCCTGTGGTACACTGCTGCCAACAAACCCCTCCTTGACTTTCCCCTGACCAAGAGGAAAGGCCTTGCCCCTCAGAGGTGCCACCGGTTCCAGTCTTCTGCCTACCGCAGCAACCAGTGGCGGTACCGTGGGCGCTGTGATAGCATCCAGTTTGCTGTAGACAGGAGGGTATTTATCGCTGGGCTGGGCCTGTATGGGTCTAGTTCTGGGAAGGCAGAATACAGTGTGAAGATTGAACTCAAGCGTCTGGGGATGGTCCTGGCTCAGAATCTGACCAAGTTTATGTCAGATGGATCCAGCAACACCTTCTCAGTCTGGTTTGAGCATCCAGTCCAGGTTGAGCAGGATACCTTCTACACAGCCAGCGCTGTGCTGGACGGCAGCGAGCTCAGCTACTTTGGGCAAGAGGGGATGACAGAAGTACAGTGCGGGAAAGTGGCCTTCCAGTTCCAGTGCTCCTCGGACAGCACCAACGGGACGGGGGTCCAGGGGGGGCAGATCCCAGAGCTCATCTTCTATGCGTGAGGCTGAGGGACCCAGGAGGGCCTAGCACATGGCCGTTTCTCCACCAGAAACTGCTCAGTAAGTGCAGGGGAGATGTGGGACTCTGCTATCTGCCTTACAGACATACTAAAGGCTTTCCTACTTATATCCGCTTGAGTCTGTGAGCAGGCACCTTTTCTGCACAAAGCCTGGAGGCTGAGCCTTGGTGTTTCCTGTTTAAGGGAGTTGGGACCCAACCCAGGCTCTGGATCCCGGCCCTGTGGCAATCAGGCTTTAGGCACCTGGATGTTCCTCCCAGCCTTTTGAACTCCAACTAGTTCCAAGCTTGCCTTGAGACCCTCCCTTCAAATCAAAATCACTGAAAAGTCACTTAAAATAGTTTACCTATTTAAGTGGATTTTCATAATAAAGGTTTTGCAAAACAAGATCCATGTATGGGTAAGTGGCTATAGGCTATACACTGGGGGCACCTTCTCCAAAGCTACTGTCATGAGAAGAAGGTATACAGCGCTGATCAGTTCTGAGTGGACAGAAAGCGACCACAGCCCAGGGAAGCCCCTCTGCCCTGTAGGCCCCTGCACCGCTCTGGGCTGTGGCTAGGTATATGTCCCCAAAGCATCACTGGTACATCAGTCTTGAAGGCTGAGGTACACTACAGATGAAAGATTCTCATGCCCCAAACCATCTTTCCAGGTGTGCACAGCATGGCTTTGCTTTATCCTGGAAAATCCCAATTTAATCTTCAGAGAAAGGGAAGGAGGATGACCACACAGGTAGTACAGCTGCACCACCTTGGCCCCAGGTGGTGCATCTTGACTACCAAGAGGACACATCCAGATGCTCATAGTCACCAGACCCTCTAGGCCAGCTACAGAAAGCTTTCTTACAAAACTCAAAGGGCTAAGGGGAGCACCCATGTCTAGAAGCCCTCTCTCATCCCTGACTGAGGAAGTCTCACCTTCCTCAAGGTGCCTGGTGTCTGCTTATGTACCTCAACCTCTTTTGAACAAGAAAGGCTCCCAAGTCCAAGTGCTATGCCTGGTTTCCCGTCTGTCCCTGGGTAGACACCTGCAATGGACCCTCTTGGTTTAGCACCAGAAATCAGGCCCCACCCACACAAGCCCCTGGCAGATTTGAGGGGTTTCTTGCCTTGGAGTCCTACACTTCAATATCCCATCTGTCCCATTCTCCAGCACCTTGGTGTACTGGTTTCTAAAGGCTAAATGGCACCCTGCCCTTGCCCCGCATACCTATAGCTGGTGCATTGATGCAGAGCTCCCTTGCTAGGAGCAGAAATGTCTTCCCCAGCACGTACACGTTCACCTGTGGTGGGAAGAACATAGCCAGAAATGCATTGGTGTTTAAGGAAATGTTTCCCTTTTTTCTTTTGTTTGTTGAGCTGGTGGGGATGGAACCTAGGGACTTAGGCATGCCAGGCAAGCACTGTGCTTCTAAGCTACATCCCTAGCACCTATTTTCCCTCCACAAAGTGCCTGTTTGACCCAAGAGTCAAAGCCCATGCTGGCCTGTGCAATACCCCGCTCCTAGAGTGTGGCCTTCTCCACTGACCCAAAGTCAGGCACCCACTACCTTCCAGGCCACACTGCTTGCACTCAGCTGCACTGCCTCACCACTGCTCCATTTGCTTAGAGACCCTGCCTGAAGGGAACCTGTCAGGTGTGATCATGCTTTGCACATGATGCTTGATTCAAAACCAAGTAAGGGGGCCAGCCAAATAGCTCAGCAGATTAAAACACCTGCAAGCAGGCGCAGGAGCCGGGGTTCAATCTCTAGTCCTGCCGTGCCGGCCCACCCCCAAGACTGGGTGTGGTGGCATATGCCTGTAATCCTAGCATTTGGGAGGCTGTAAACAGGAGAATCACTAAGAGTCTGACTTAGCAGTGAAACCCTGAATACCCTGTGGACCCTTCCCTAAAACACAGGAAAACGCAAACAAACAAAAAAAGACCTGCTTGCTTGGCCCTAACACCACCAGCTCATGGCTTTGTGGGCCAAACTGTTTTTCCACTGTTCCCATTACAAGCTCCCATCAGTCACCTCTTTTCATTGCCACAGGGATAAGAGGAGGTGCTCAGCCCTATGACTCAGCTGTCAATCTGTGGTGAGTGCTTGTGTGCACAACTCCAGGCATAGCTTAGCACCTCAATGCAGTCCCATGGAGCCCGGTGCTGACCAGAGCTACAGGTGGCAGGGAGGATGCTTCTGAGGGGTCAGGGTAGATGTAGGACCAGCAATCTAACCAGGCAGCTTGGACAGAAGGCAGGGCTGGGAGTCCCCAGAGCACTCTGGCTTTATTCATCCCAGGCCTGTTACTTGGACTTCCAGGCCTCACAGTGACTGGTCTGGCCCCTTAACTCTGGCTTCTCCAAAGAAAATTTGCTTGAGCAAACCTGGACTATGGGCCCTTGGCCAGGCTTCCTTTTTCTGGCATGAAAGTAGCACTTAGGTCCCTGCAGACATGAAAGGGGAATGAGGCCTAAGAGATGACAGTCTTAGAGGCAGGAGTTGGAGGGAATGCTTGAGACCTGTTAGCTCATGGAGCCCACTAGGTGGGAGAGCTGAGACAAAGACTGCATATCCAGGCAGCAGACTATCCCCTCAGCTCACAATGGGTGCACTTTCTGTCTTTGAGGGTCCCTAAGGGCTGCATCCTAAGGCCTAGTGGCTCACAGAGTATGGTTTCTTAAGGGGTTCCTGCTTGTGAGTTTCCAGGAGTCACCGAGGTCTGTGTGCCAAACTGGATGGTATGTGTAAGCATGTAGTGTGAGCATGTAGGTATGTATATGTGACATAAGTGTGCATAGTGTGTTCAGGCCTGCAGTTATGCGGTGTATGGTATGTGCATGTGTATGGTGTCTTAAGTGGAAAAGCATGCAGTGTGAGCACAGTCATCCCAGGACTCCAGTCAGGTCCCTGGGTCGTGGCTCTTCTGACCCCATCTGTGTTTAGGCCACTGTGGCAGCTACTGGGATGGACAGGTCCCACTGGAAGGCTGGGTTGGGCCTTTGTCTGCCCACGTTAGACTCCTTGGCACCTTAACCTTGAGTCTTAGATACAGGATTAGATAATGAGCCCTCAGCACTACAGAAAGAGTTCTATAACAGACTTTAAATGGAAAACCAAAGTTGTAAAAAGTTATGTGTATAAAAATACAACTCAGGCCAGGGAGATGGCTCAGTGGAATAAGCGCTTCCTTGGCAAGCGCAAGGGTCTGAGTTCAATCCCCAGTTCCACCAAAAAAACCCAATAAAAATACAACTCTTTCCAAAGATAACTTTTTTCCCCTAGATAGGTCTTACTGTGCTACACAGGCTAGCCTTGAACTCAGGCTGAAGTGATCCTCACTTCAGACTCCTCTTAGTGAGGACTAGAGGCACATACTACTGTACCTGGCTTCAAGAGGTACCAATGCCTACAAGTGCTGTTTATCATAAATGGTCCAAATAGCAGTGTGAGGCCAGCACTGCTCCCTGAGGGCAGGTGGCCAGGGCTGGCCCATACTCCCATTTGTCCAAGAAGGGCATTGCATTCTGCATACAGGCTGCCTTTGTGGGCCTTGGGTTTCCCCTCTAGGGTGCTGTGTACCCAGACAGGTAGGCAACCTTGTGTCTGCCGCAAGGCAGGAATCAAACGGCCTTCCAGGTGGGCCTGCTGGAGGACCCAGACAACAGGCTAGACAAGACTATAGAGCACTTCTTGCATAGGGATGGCACATGCTTCTCCACCCTGCTAATGCCAGCTGGAGGGTGGCAGACTTGATCTCAATATTGAGAGATGGTTAACTCTGGGATATGTGTGAATCAAGAACTAAGCCTAAACTCAGGGTATCTCCTCCAATTCAATCTTTTACTTATTTCCTCACAGCAGTCAGCCTTTTTGGAAGGTAGACCAGGATGAGGTCCTAGAGGGTGAGAGCATGCACCATACACAGGTCCCAAGAAAGTCAGGGCTCTTCCTGCGTCCCCATGGATATCTCAGGAACAAAGGAACCAGTTGTGAACCCTTCTAGGGAGGAGTCAGCTTTGCCTGGTCCTCACCTGCTAGCTCCTCCAATCCTAGTTGCTGGCGTGACTCAGCCTCCCACAGGCACCAAGCCCTGACACTCAGCTATGCCCCACTAGCTAGTGTCAGAGGTCCACCCTGACTGTGTGGCTCTGCCTGCCTGGCATGGGGTCCTCAGCCCTTGGCCACCTTCTGCGCAGGCACCATAGCTGGCTTCTGTTTCCAAAGCTGTGATGCTGCAGCTGACTGCTGCATCCTACTCTGCCTCCAAGTGCAGCACAAGCCACTTGCTGTGGCCTGGCCCAGGCTGAGGCCCTAGCTCCAGCATGTCTTTCTGGGAAGTCACCAGTTTGAAGATGGGGTCACATGACCTTGCCCTGAACTGAGTGCAACACATTTGGAATGTGAGGTCACTAAGTGATCATAATTCCAACAGATCATTTTTAGCTTCACAAAATATTTCAGAATAACTGCTGGTAGGTGCCATTTATAAAGACAACTGTAAAGCCAAAAATACAGGGCACCATGTGAGCCAGGGAGACTGTTAGTAGATATGGTTCTGGAGGCACCAAGGCCCAGGCACCAGAGGTGACATCCTGGCTGGTGGCATCCCAAGACCCTGAGGACCTGTCAGATCTGGACAGAAGACTTCATTTCAGGGTGAAATTCATCCCATTTTCACACTAGTCAACTTGGTTTTCAATGGTGTTTCTCTTTCCTAGTCCTTAGTGATCAATCACAGTGGGCCTTAAGGCCTGTCTACAACCCACGCTGAGGACTTGAGTCAGCCCCCATTTAGCCCCCCAATGCTGTCCATGGGAACATAGTGCAAAGTCTGACCTCCTTTCCTGCCCACGAGTGTCACTGGTTGGGTTTTCTCACAACATTCATTTGTTTGGAAATACAATAGAAAGTGCTTTTCCTGAACCCAGAAAACATGACTATGAACAGAGAGTATGCTTTTTCTACAGTTTAAAATGCCTATGGGGGTCCATTTTCCCTTTTCCTTTTAAAGTCTTCCCTTTATCCATGACAAAGTTCAATGGGTTTTTCATGTGCTTCCAAAGCTGGCCTTTGGAGCTATAGGTAGCAGCAGGACTATGAGCACATGGGGAATGGCCTTTCGGAGCCCTGGTACATCTAAACACATGCCATGTAAGCAGTTCTCTCCATAAAGGGGGGTCTTCCCAGCCATTCCTCAGATGAGGAATCCCTAGGAAGCAAAGTAACTTACCTGAAGCAGGTCGCTGAGGTCAAGGAGCATGTCTGCAGCCAGGGTTAAGAAGCATCCTCACCCACAAGAGCTGAGTCACACCTGCTGCCCTCAAGTTGGCACTAATCAGTAAATACAGGCTACCTGAACTCAATGTGGGACTTAATGCCTGGCCAGGAGTTTTTGTCCCCTAGACAGTGGTTGGGGTTGTGGGGGTGGGGCAGATGCTCTGAAGAGAGAACTAGGATAGGGACTGCAAGAGATGCTGGGAGCCACGCTGGGGAACCAAACACAGATCCTTGATGCATGTGATCCTTCAGAAGCACAGGGCTCCACAGACTACCACTGGCCGGTCCACTATTGCCTATCACATGCAGGCTCCACTCCTCAAGTTCTTGCGGAGGACCTGCCCAGCACAAGGCCGTGTCCCGAAACAACCCACACAGACTATTGGAGAGGGACCCCAAGCCTGGAGGAGTGGTGTAAGTGTGTGTCCAGCAGTCAGTACTAGTGCTGTGCTCAAGGGCGCAGCTGAAAGGACTCTAGGGTTGGACCTGGTCTCATCCTCAAGACAAGCACACAGTATCAAGGACGTATGCGAAGTAAATCCAAACTCAGATGGTACAAACAATAGAAGACAGGTCCTTGGTAGGGCAGCTGCTTTTCAGTGAAGTTCATCCAAATGAACACCACTGGCTGGAAAGGTCACTCAGTGCTAACTGTGCTTAGCAAGTACAAGGCCCGGGTTCTACCTCAGCATCACATTAAAAAAAGTGATGGTCTGCTGCTGGCTTAAGAAGTTAAAACCAGCCCAGAGCAGGTGTGACCAGGTGTGAGATGAAGCCCTGTGACCTAGACATGCAAGGAGAAGGAAAGCACACAAAGCTCCAATCCAAGTCACAGGCAGCACCGCCTCAGTGCCACATCCTTGGAGAAAGAGACATCATTTCTCTATCCCACAGTACCAGCTGCATCAGGGAGGAAGCAACAGAGAGACAACTAATGAGAGGAAGTGAAAGTGAGGAAGGCAGAAATCAATGACAAAGAAGCAAGACAACAGAAACAAAAAGGCAAAAGGGCCATGCTAGGTGGCTTGACTCTGTGACACTCTGGAAGGAAAAAACAAAACTGTGAAGGTAGGAAAAAGATCAGCAGAGGCCACTGCCTAGAGGGAAGAGGGGTAATGAGGTTTAGGCTAAGACAACTGTGCAGTGTGGAAGTGGATAAGGCTCACACACATCTGTCCCAACCACAGCATGTGCGTCTTAGCAGTGACCCTCACATACTCCACGGCTGGCTGATGTGCTAGTGCCGGCTGTCCCACTGTGAGACAACCACATGGACATGGAGGCTCGCAGCAACCACCTATCGGCTAGAGGGCAGGTTAGGGTGTGGTGGCACACACCTGTAATCTCAGCACTCTGGAGACTAAGGTGGGAGGATCACCAGGAGTTTGAGTGCAGGCTGGGCTTCACAATGAAGGCCAGCTTGAACTATACAGCAAGATACTGTCTCAAAAAAAAAAGTAAACAAAGGCCAAAAAACAGGGCAAAACATGTGAACAGAAATTTCAGTGACACAGTAGCTAACACACATGAAATGAGCTGAACTACATTAGTCACCACAAAACCAAACAGACAAGAACAAGAACACAGATGCCACAGCCAAACACACGGCCACAGTACCCAAGCACAGCCACAGGAGGACAGCCTGGAGGTTCTCACTTAACTGAATATGTACCCACCCCAGCCCAGTGACTCCATTCCCAGCCTTTACCCAAGAGAAGCAACAACATATGTCCACAGGGAGACTTGCCCAAGATGCTCTTGGCAGTTTCAGTCATAATGGCTCACACTAGAGAAGAAGCCCATCACGAAAGGATCAGTCTGGTGTGTGTGTGACAGTGCTCAGCATGCGAAGAAACGCAGGGCAACACAGACCAAGCCAAGGCACAGACACCTACAGAAAAACAGCTCCGGCTAAGTGATCCACTCACAGGATGGCCTAGAAGACAGCAGTCTAGGGCAAAAAGACGTAAGTGTGGCTCTCTATATGGGACAGGGCAAAGTCTAAGGAACACCCTGAGTGCTGGCTTTGCTCTGTTCTCCATGGATTACTGGATGACAGATGTATGCATTTGTCAGAATTTATCCAATACTATGATAAAAACCTGGGAGCTGGGTGGCAATGCACCCATGTAATCCCAGGGTATTCCAGGAGGGTGAGACTGGAGGATTCCAAGTTCAAGCCCAGCCTGGGCAACTTAGCAGCTTAGACCTATCTCAGAATAAATAGGCTGGAATGTATCTCACTGCAAAGACCCTAAGTTCAATCTCCAGTACTGAAGAGAAAAATGATCCAGATGCAGTGGCATGTGCCTATAATTCTATCACTCTGGGAGGCTGAGGCAGGAGAACTACAAGTTTTAACCCAGCCTGCGGGAACTTGGTAACTTAAGTGGCTTGTTTCAAAATAAAAGACAAACATATGCAAATAATAATTTTTATTTTTTATTTTATTTTTTTGAGACAAGGTCTTGTTATGTAGTTCAGCCTGGCCTTGAACTCACTATGTAGCAATCCTCTTGACTCAGCCATGCATGACCCATCACACTTGGCTAAAAACAATCTTAAAAAAAACCTGTGTTTCATCCTAGGCCAAGTTTTACCTCCAAAAAGAGTGATAAATAATGAACCTAAGCAAGCTAATCACCTCTTTCTGCAGGGCTAGGGGAAGGGCAGAGGCAACTTACTTTGAACACATAACAGGATGAGCGATCATGGCAAAGTGAAGGCTTCAACATTCATAGAAAACATAATTACTTCAACTCTGAGATGCTTGAAAATTTTCATAATAAATCATGGGAGAATATGTGTGTTATTTTTTTAGAAGACTGACTTAAACTGTTAACCTAGTTAAATAGATATCACGCCACCCATGGGTCTGACAGAGTCTGTACATGGTCCCCTAAGTGGGGACGGAGGAGTGGAGCCTCTCCTTGCTAAGAAGCCCAGCCAACGAGCATTCATCACTGTCTACCACACCCCCTACTGATTCCCTCTTGCTCAGTTGTTCACAGCCCTGCCCACAGCACCATCCAGGGCAGGGCTCTCTAAGTGACAACCAGGCAAAAGCTCCAGCACTCAGCAACCTGGCCTGTACTTGCTATGCCAAAAGCCACTACCATGGTGCCATAGAGCCTCTCAACACCCACTGCCATCCAACACTGACAACACACAGCACTGATACCTGCTGTGGACACAACAAGCTAACAGCTACTAGCTACACAGCCCTGGGCCCTGCTCCCTGAAAACATGCCCGGGAGGCACTGAAGCCATCTCTTCCCCAGTTTCCTGAAGGGGTAACTAAGGCTTAAAAGCAAGGTCTACCCCAGAGGTAGAGCCAGAACTAAAACCAGAGGGCCTGGCTAATGTTTCTGCTCTTGATCCAGCAAAGGATGAAGTCAAACAGCCTCCAAGAAGCAAAAAATTGTCCTTGGCAGTGTCTGAACAACCTATGAAGAACCTGTCCACCTTCCTCAGCCACCTTTCTTTTCATAGAAAGGCTGATGCCCATTCCTACGTGTGACCTACAGCAGCCCAAACAAGTAGTTTGCTGTTCTGGAGTTATTGGGTAACTCTGAGGACATTCTCAAAGGTAATCTCAAGGGATTACTCTAGAAATTGAAAATAAAAAGAAAACTACAAAGGCCAGTCAGATAGTTTAGCGGACTAAAGTGCCTGCTTAGGCAAAGCACAGCAACCAGGGTTTGATCCCTGCTGTGCTGTGCCTGGCCAGGCCCGGCCAGTGGCCCATGTCTGCCCCTACCCCTGGGGTGTGCTGAGACAGTGACTGAGACTGGATGTGGTGGCACAAGCCTGTAATCCCAGAAATTGGGAGGCTGAAAACAGGATTACTACAAGTCTGAAATACATAGTGAGACTCTGTAGACTCTGTACTAAATACATTTAAAAAAGAAAACCAGAAAATCCCCCATTATTTTCAAAACAAGCCATATACTTCTAAATGCCCCATGGACTCAAGGAAAAATATTATAAATAAGAAAATTTTCTTTTTTTTTTTTTAATTTTATTTATTTATTTATTTATTTAGTGTGTATATGGCCTGCTCAGCCCACCAGGGGGCGGGGCTGGCTGGTATGTGGTGCTGGGGGATTGAACCGCAGTCCCTGTGCTTTGCTTAGCTTAGCTTGTTCTAAGTAGGTGCTTTAGGACCACTGAGCCATCTCACCAGCCCCAAGAAAATTTTCTGAAGTACATAGTAACAAAAATATATTCTAAAACTATGATACAACCAAATTTATCCTCTCAAATGTTTACATTAAGAAAATCAATGGGGGTGAAGAAAAAAAAAAAAAAAAAGAATGGAAAAGAAAAAAAATGGAGATCCGACATCTTGACTGGACTGTAGTGGTGGCCACTGCTCTCTAGGCTCCATGATGCCACCCAAAGACGACAAGAAGAAAGATGCTGGAAAGTCGGCCAAGAAAGACAAAGACCCAGTGAACAAATCTGGGTGGGTGCAAAGCTAAAAAAGAAGAAGTGGTCCAAATGCAAAGTTCGGGACAAGCTCAACAACCTGGTCTGTTTTGATAAAGCTACTTACAACGAACTCTGTATGGAAGTTCCTAACTATAAACTTGTAACACCTACTATGGTCTCTGAGAGACCAAAGATCTGTGGGTCACTGGCCAGAGCAGCCCTTCAAGAGCTTCTTAGTAAAGGGCCTATCAAGCTGGTCTCAAAGCATAGAGCTCAAGGTATACTAGAAATACCAAGGGCGGAAATGCCCTGCCGCTGGTGAAGATGCATGATGAATAGGTTCAACCAGGTGTACATTTGGAAAAAATAAAATTTTATTACAAAAAAAAAAAAAGAAAAAATGGAAACGAAGCTTGTGTAAATGTGGGGGGGAGGATGGAATGGAGGGAAAATGGTTAAAAAAAAGAATTAAGATATATTATGTACAGGTACAAATCCCTATGGATGAATGTGATCAATATGTATGACAAATATGTATTAATTAAAAAGCT